AATCCCGCCAAATGCCGCGAGTTTTTTCACAATTGGGTCAACTAGAATTAAGTAAATCTGCCAAACCCCCTAATACTTTCGTTTAATAAAGTAGATTAGAAAGAAGGATTGTCTAGCACCGGATCAATTTGTTTATTATCCTGAATTTTAGGGCTCTTGCGGGATTTTATCGTCAGAGATAAGAGTCCACGAAAAGCAAGCAACAGCTATGTGGGGCAGGAACCAACCAACCGTTATACGGGGGGAGGTAGAAGAGGAGGGAAATCATTAATTAACAGTGTCGGCTGTACGAATATGCCTGCGGAGGGCGATGTATGCCGGTGCCAGATCGATAGGTCGATTGACAGAGTTCACATCCGAGGCCCAGGCTTCAATCAATTCTCGGTCTGTCTTGCTGCCGGCGTGGGCGATTATCTTCGCAGCTGCGAAGTTAAACTCGTGACCCATCTCGTAGGTTTGAGATTTTCGTGGACGCTTTTATCTCAGACGATGGGCTCCCGCAAGAGCCCGAAAGCTCAGGATAATAAGCAAATTTATCCGGTGCTCGGCAATCCTCCTTTCTTGTCTATGCAAATACCTGCAACGCGAACGTTCTCCTTCATTTGTTTAATAAAGTTTATGAAAAGTTAGCCCAAATTATGAAATGAACTTTTCATTAGGAAGGGTTACTTGGATGGCGTTGTATTACACATCAGTATGCAGTATAATCCCACATTTTGGATACTACCTAAAAAGAATGAAGACATGGTGTTGACTTTTGAATGAGCTTTCGACGGCCGTCCGTAAAAAACACTCAGACAAAAAGACATTTGTCTTACGGGTTTCTGCTTACCCTTATAAATTCAACTATATTCGACATAGGATATACATGTGATTTTTTTACACAAAAGTACCTCATGTTGCGTCCCCAAAAGTCTTACAGCAATAAAGTAATAGGCGTTCTTCAAAATAGAGCATATTGCGATTTTTCAAGTAATATAACGTTGTTTAGAAATGACAGCTTTTTAGAAAAGCAGAAAATTCCGGAAAAGTGAAAATCGGGTGTACTAGGTAAACTTAAATGTTAAATGTAGAGAAAGCCTGACATTGCCAAAACCAAGTGAATAAAGCAGCACAAGTAAATTAACGTTGGAAAATAATATTCTTGTAAAATTCCCAGATACATATGGTTCCATAGTACGCGTAATGTCACGTATGGCTGTTATCGAACAGCCCAAAGTTCGAGTATGTATTCCAACACGGTTTCACGAGAACTGCCAGTTGATTCTTCCGTTTACACATTGCTTGAGTTACTTTAGAGTAAGACAACCAGATTTGCGCTTGATTACATCAATTGGGAGGTCACAGGAATAAGCTATTTCGTAAGCCCACGTGTGGACATGCCGGTCAGTGAGTAATAAATTTAAATGGGATTGTCAGGTGCAATCTTAAACGTACTATTTTGTGTACAATAAGAGAAATTACCTTCTGTCACACTTTTTTGTAATTATTTTGGGATTTCGATTACGACGAGATTCAGATCTTTCCTAGAATTGTGACTAACATTACGTTTTTTACGGGCTTTAGTCAATTGGCCATAACTAAGGATTATTTGCTAGGTGTTTACGCAAACAATCAAAATTAGGTATTAATTAAACGCATTTGGCTAAATTGTGAGCTCTTTGGCAGTATTTCTAATACACCAGTTTATCTAGGTCGTGTTTTTAAAATCATCCAAACCTGCGAAATCATTATCGATCAGAATGAACGTCAACCACATTAGTCCCAAATTAATATGCCTGGGATCAATTAAAAAGCTTTCCATAGCAACTTATCTTTTGAAAAAGAGCTTTATTTAGATAATTCGACGTCAAGTAGCTGCGTACTTTACCTTTTTCGAAGATTAAGTCAAGATAAAAATCGCAAATTGTGACCGGTTTTTTGATTTACTTGAGAATTACGAATAAATCTTCTGCCAAAAGCGAAAGAACTCACTTTTCTGTGTATACTAGAGCAGTTTTCAATATAAATTTCTGCATTTAGGCCCCGTACCAAGATTACAAAAGCACGTCATAGAGGCAGAATATATACAGCAGTCGCCGGTTATTAAGCCCACCTCGGGCCCAGACCAAATTGGGC